GCCAGATCAGTTCTCAAATACAGCTCATCTGCCTGGAATCCACACTGGATAACGGACATGAATTACGGTTGAGCGAGTCCAGAAGGATACTCCACTCCTCTACTCGCAATAGAATACCTTGAAATTTTGGACCTGGACAATCTAGAACTACGCCGCCTACGGTCTGATCTAAGCTTAGTACACAAAATTGTCTGCCACAAGGCTCTACCTGTCAGTGACTTCTTCAGCTTCAACCACAATAACACACCCGGCAAACAATAGGGACAAACTCAAAGTAAACTGCTCCAAACTCGATTGCAGGAAATCCGACTTCAGCAAACAGAGTGGTCAACGCCTGGAACTCACTACCTGACTCCGTTGTTACAGCCTCAAACCCCCAAACCTTTAATCTTAAAACTGTCTACCGTGCACCTCACTCCATTCCTAAGAGGCCTGGAAGGGGGCTGACCAGTGTGCCACACTACCATCCCTGTTCTCCTGTCCCCATTTATCCATTTATTCATACTCATTTATTATGTATACACTTATATCTGTTTATACTTATGCCTGTTTATACTTATATGCTTATATGTTATGTTCATACTTATACTAGTTTTCTCGTACATGGTTGACAAACAAACAAATAAATAAAATAAAAGAAGCTGATCAAAGATGTTCTACAGCAGGGGTCCCCAACCACCGGTCCGCGGACTGGTACCAGTCCGTGGAACAAGTCCTACCGGGCCGCTGGTTTGCTGGGCGCTGCCATCTTGTTTTGATGAAAAAGTGCTTCCGGTGAGCTTTTCCAGGTAGAAAGCTCACTGGAAGCACTTTTTCATCAAAACAAGATGGCGACGCCCAGCTGATGCCGGTACCGGGCCGCGGCATAAAAAAGGTTGGGGATACCGGGCCGCGGCATAAAAAAGGTTGGGGATACCGGGCCGCGGCATAAAAAAGGTTGGGGATCACTGTTCTACAGCAAAATATTTGTGGTCTGGAGTCACTCCCTGTATCCAGAATGACAGATTGAACAGAATTCCAGCAAATATCAGTCAAAGAGTTTATATAATGAGGCATCCTTGGTCTCTCTGAGCTTGGTTGTTTACTTGCAGGTGTTTCATCACCCAACTAAGTAACATCATCAGTACTGTACTGGAAGGGTTTGCTCTTTGTTTATATACAAGTGGCTTGCTATGCTCCATTTATTTCTAGTTTGCAAATATTACTTCTTTATGTAACTTCCTTAAAGTTAGCACCAATGATGTTACCTTGTTTGGGTAATGAAACGTCTGCTAGAAAACAACCAAGCCCTCATTTCAACCCTAAGCTACAAACATTCTCCTTTATTGTTTACTAGCTCTATACCTGTGCTTTGCTATGAAACTATGTGATTGGGCTTAGTTTTGGGGGAGGAAAATAAGGAGAAAAAAAATTCTGCCTCTGCCTACCAGCATCCATCAGTATTCATCTGGTTAGTGTCCTGTCAGTGTGTGAGAGAGTTGAGGACTGTTTGGAAACTAAAACAGTATTTGCTGTGTGAGCAAGAAGGAGACATCAAGGAACCTGGGTGTGGCTTAGCTCAACTGTTCTGTACTAAAGCTGCTTGCTGCTCTGAAACTGAAACTGAAACTCCTCTCCTCTGCTTTTTTTTTTTTTTTTTTGCATTTGGAAGATATTTTTTTTCAGGTGAGGAGGGGGAGTAGAACTCCTTAGCATCAGAGCGTGTTAATAATAATAATATACGAAATACTAATGCTGTTATGGTCATTTCGAAAAATCCTTTCTTAGTGAGCACCTAGAAGCACCTGGGAACATACGTGCCAAATTTCAAGTTTGTAGGCTTTATGGTTCTGGAGATTTTGCGATGATGAATGAATGGTATTTTGCTTTTATATATACAGATTTGATGATCCATTGTCCTCAAGAGAAAATAAATTGTATTTCATTGGAAGATATGCAGGCAGTCCTCAACTTACAATGTAATTGAGCCCAGGATCTTTATGTTATTCCAGTTGTTAAGCAGGTCACCCCGTGATCACACCTGGTTTTATGACTCTTTTTGGCAGTGGTCTTTAAGGGAACACTATGGTTGTTAAGTGAGTGCTGGAATCATTAAACAAATCCATTGTCCGCAATGGGCATTTTTTTTTGGCCAGAAACTAATTAAATGCAGGCTCCCAGCAAAAACAACAACAGATATTGTGGTCCTATGATTGTGGGATGCTACAAACAACCATAAATGCAGGCCAGTTGCTGAGTGTTTCAAATGTGATAAGGTGACTGTAGTGTGTGTGTGTGTGTGTGTGTGTGTGAGAGAGAGAGAGAGAGAGAGAGAGAGAGAGAGAGAGAGACTGACTGACTGACTGACAGACAGATAGAGAAAGAGAAAGATTGTGAGAGGGAGGCAGGGGGAGAGAGAGAGGGAGGGAGGGAGAGAGACAGAGAAAGAGAAAGAGAGAGTAAGTGTGAGGCAGGGAGAGAGAGAGAGGGAGAAAGAGAGGGAGGGAGAGAGAAAGAATCAGACAGAGAGGGGGGGAGAGAAAGAGAGACAGAGAGAGAGAGAAAGGGAGAGAGAGAGAGAGAGAATGAACTTTTGAAATTGTATTTCATAAACCGGACTTTTGCCCCCTTAACATTATTACCCATGAACTGTACTTGGCCAACAGACCACGGTTAAAGTCAACCGGGACACCCCAACATGGAAACTTACCTTGTGGTTGGATATATGCAGCCTGTATTTAAAAAAATAATAATTTTTTTTAAATTTATTTTTAAACGGGACCAGTAAATATTGTGAATGGCAGATCATCTGATCCCCTCCTCCTCCCTGGGGAAGAACCCCCTCCCACCGTTTATTTACCAGAGGCCGATGGGACAACCACTTCGATGAATTATGCATCCGCGCCCCCCCCCGTCCCCCAGACGGCAGAAGCGGGGCTTCTGGTCGGCGCTGGAAAGAGGAGACGGCCAAGGTCTCACGCACAGGGCCTGGGGAAGGGAGACGGAAGGGGGCGGCTGGCGAGGCGGGCGAGCGGGCGCGCCTTCGGCTCTGGCATCATCGCCACGTCGGGTGAATAATTCATCGGCCGGCCAAGCCGTCCGCTAGAAGCGCGCAGGGGAGGCGCAGAACAAACGCGGCTCCGGAGCCTCCCCGACCTTGGGACGCGCGCACGGCGCCCTTTCCCTGCTATCCAGCCGCGTCTGGGGTTTGACCACAACTCCCATCACCCCGGCTTTGGGGCTGAAAGGCCGGGGATGATGGGGGCTTGTCGTCTAACCAACTTTAGCCGCGCGTACTGCATCGTTGTTTTCTTTCTCTTTTTGTTTCAATGAATTCTTTAAAAAAGTGCTTGACAACAGAGCCGTTCCTCAAATCCAGGTCATTCATGTTAGCTGGTTCAGATACGGTTAACATTATTTTGTATAGCAAAAGAGCCACTTGGCTCCAGAAGTTGTGAATGCTCCAACACTGGAAGCTTTAAAAAAAAAAAAAAAAGATGTTGGATAACCATTTATCTGAAGTGGTGTAGGATTTCCTGCCTACGCAGGGCAACCCCCTTCCAGCTCTTCTATTCTATTCTATTCTATTCTATTCTATTCTATTCTATTCTATTCCATTCCATTCCATTCTATTCTAACCCTGCAGCTCATCAGACGAGCAAAGCTGGGAGTTGAAGTCCACAAATCTTAAAAGTTGCCAGGTGTGGAGGCCTCTGCTTTAAAGCAATCCGGATTGGGAATCTAGAAAAGGGGTTGCTCTTCCACCCGGGAATTATCAATGCAACGCACGGCTTCTCTTCCTTTTGCAAACCCCGCCACCGAGACCTCGAGGTTTCGTTGTCCTCGTGGCTGAAGGGCTCTAGGGACGCGTCCCTTCTTACTCTTCCACTGAATTAATTCTCTCTCTCTCTCTCCCCGCCGCACCCTTGGAAAAGAAAACCCTCCACGCCGGTATTTCCCACCTCCCTCAAACCTTGACAGCTTGAAGACGCGTGGGAATTGAAGTCCACGCATCTTCAAGTTGAGAAACTTTGGGGTCCCATCAAATCGCGAGGCAGGGAGTTCCGCGGGGACACTTCTTGTAAGTCACCTTCAAACTACTCCCTTTTTGTTTTTATTTTTTTGGAGAGCTACTCAGAAGCGCAAGATGGAGAGGACGAGGCCGAACAGCGCTTCAGTCAAAGCCCTACATCGCCTGCAGCGATTCAGGGCCGACGTCGGAACAGCCTGGCACCCGCCTTCACCCCTCGCCAAAAGAGATCCCCGGCTCCGTTCCCGGCTCCTCCACGCCTTGGCTCGCTCTGTCTGTCTGTCTGTCTGTCTGTCTGTCTTTGTCTGTCTCTGTTTCTCTCCCTCTCTCTCTGTTTCTCTCCCTCCTTCTCTCTGTCTCTGTCTCTGTCTCTCTTTCTCTCTCACACACACACACCCTCTCTCTTCCTCCCAATTCGGGAACCTTGCCTGTCGGGATGAAAACCCCACCAGCTGGTGCGTAAAAGCGCAATCGGTGCGTAAAAGTGCCGGCTTGCGCTCTCTTCGCCTCTCCGGCGTGACCAGAGGCGACCCTCGCCTGGTCAGCGTCCTTCCTCGCCTTTTCCTCCTCCTCCTCCTCCCCCTCCCCCTCCCCCCAGTCGGCGAGACGCGCCTGCACCTCCGCCCCTTCCTCTGCCCCCCCCACCCTCCCTACCCCGCTTCGGAAGGTCTGGCGAAGCGAGCCTCCTTTAGACTCCAGGCATGTCGAAGAGAAGCTGTGTGAGATCACCCGGGTTATAAATATCTCCGTGCCAGCGCCGCGCTCTCGGACACCGCGCTCTCTCCCTATCTCGCGGGCCGACGATGCCGCCTTCCCAACGCGGCGGAGCGCACGGCCGGCTGCCCCGTAGGTGCAGCAGCAGCAGCGGCGGCGGCGGCAGCTGCGGCGGCGGGAGGAGTAGCAGCAGCAGCAGCAGCCGCTGCCGCCGCCGCCGCTTCTCCTCCTCCTCCTCCTCCTCCAAAATGCCAGGCGGGTCTCTCGGGCTGGAAGCATGAGCCTGCCTTTCTCCAGCTGCCTCCTCTTCCTCCTCCTTCGCTTGCTTAGTGGCCACTTGATCCTCCCGGCTCTGGCGCGCCCGCGGCCCCCACGGGCGCAATTTGGAGAGGCCGAGCCCCACAGCAGCCGCAGCAATCTTGGAAATCGCCCTGCTACTTCGTCTCTCTCCTCCTCCTCCTCTTCCTCCTCCTCCTTTCCCGCGCCTTCCTCTTATTCCTCCCCCTCCGCGGGAGTTCAAAGCGGCGGCTCGGAGATGAGCAGTTTTAAGTGGAGTCCCTCCGGGCGTCGAACGGGCAGCCTCTACTGCAGAGTGGGCATCGGTTTCCACCTCCAGATCCACCCGGATGGGCTGGTCAACGGCTCTCACCACGACAGCCTCTTAAGTAAGTAAGCAAGCGTGGGGCGCCTCTCCGCCCCTCGTTTGGGCGAAGCGGGGACGGCGGCCCGGTTACCCAAGTTCTGCATTTCGTACGGGGAGAGCGGGGTTGGACTTCGCCGTCCGTGAGCGCGCCTGGTTTGCACGCCTGAGTTGTTGTTTTTTGTTAAAGTGCATCTTTAAATAAAAAAAAAAAACATTTAAATTGATAGTTACGAATTGCTCTCGCTTGGTTCGGTCCCTGGACGATTCCTCTCGGATCTTGTCTAATTCTTAGCTCTGGAAGCGCTCTGCCTGCGCTCCGGGAGTTTAAAATTCAGGTGCTTTTTCAACGCCTTTGGGATTTATTTATTATTATTATTTTTGCTGCGGTTCAGGCAGTGAAAAATTCTAAACGCTGAGCGGTGAAATCCGGACGAGAGGTACTTCTCTAAATAAAGTGTCTGGAAAATTGGCAAGGGAAGATCATCTGATACGAAGGCAAGTTGCTGAGCAAAGCCTTCACAAAGAAGGTAGATAAGCAGTTCCACGTGAAAAATTACCGGAAAGTATTACAATAATAATTGGAGGTGGGGGAAGCTCAGGTTTCTGCTCTCTTGAAAAATCTTGAATATATTCCTTGTGTCTGCAGGGCGCCTGCTGTCCTGTTAAGTAGGTTGAGAGAGTCTATTCGGTTTAAAAAGACATAATTTGGCCCAGGGAAGAGAAAACATTACAGAATAGGCTTCCTTGACTTGCTTCGAAGCAAGACCCATGGAAGTCTCTTTTGTTTGTTTGTTTGTTTGTTTGGGCGTGGGGGGGTGGACTAGATGACCTACAAGATCCCTTCCAACTCTGTTAATCTATTAAAGTCAGGGGGGTGTCAGTTGGTGTAGCTGTGGAAGAGGTGGGTTGCTTGTGACTACAAAAACCATTGCAGACCCCCGATGTAAACATCTCAAGGAATGCAGTACAGGTAGTTCTCCGCTTCTTCTTTTTTAAAAAATTTTTTAAAAAACATTTTATTAAACAAAACAATTAAAAACATTGAACATGGTGAAGTTGGTTTGATGTGATTTTGGGTCAATATCGCATCTATATTTATATATCTATATATATCTATCTCTATCATCTTTCTATCATCTATCTATCTATCTATCTATCTATCATCTATCTATCTATCTATGTCTATCTATCATCTATCTATCTATATTCCTATAACTATATACATATCTATCTATCTATCTATCTATCTATCTATCTATCTATCTATCTATCTATCTATCTATCATCTATCTATCTATCTATCTATCTATCTATCTATCATCTATCTATCTATCTATCTATCTATCTATCTATCTATGTCTATCTATCTATCTATCTATCTATCTATCTATCTATCTATCTATCTATCTATCTATCTATCTTCCTATAACTATATACATATATACATTTGTTTGTTCATATAATACATTTCTAACATCATTTGTCTTCTTTTCATCTCATCCAACCACCTACCCTTTCAACAACTCCTTTCCCAACAAGACCTTCCTCTCTGCTCCCACCAATGAGAGAATTGATCCCAAATTGCGTAGTATGCCAATTCAATCTTTGTTTTTTCATTTCTAGAGTTAACTTGTCCATTTCAGTGCGTAGCAAGATTTTGTTTATTAGTTCTTCACTTGGTATAACTATCTCTTTCCAGTTCTGGGCAAATGCTATCCTTGCTGCAGTAATAATGTGTATAATCAAATGAAGCCCATCTTTCTTATATTTTCTTTGACATAATTCCTAAATAGAAAGCATTCTGGTAGGTGATCTACTTTCAAACCCCACATTTCCTCCAGCCTCTTCCCCGTCCTAAGCCAATACTCCTGCGCTTTTTTGCAGTACTACCACGCATGGTAATATGTTCCCTGTTCTATTGAACATTTCCATGAATGTGGGAAGGTAGTCCTCTGCTTCTGACTACAACTGAGCCCAAATTTTGTGTTCTTGAGGGAGACAGTTAAGTGAACTTGCCCCATTTTACATTCTTTTTTTTTTTTGCCCTAGGCCCGTGATGGCGAACTTATAGCATGTGTGCTGGAAGTGGCACGCAGAGCCATTACTGCCAGCATGCGAGTCCTGGCCCAGAGCAGGTCTACTGCACATGCGCACACACCGCCCACCCAACAGCTGATTGTCGGGTACCTGGCGTGCATGCATGGGGGGGGTGAGGGGGCACCTGGGAGATGCGTGCACATGCACAGAAATGTGCAGTGCACGCAGGGTGTGTGCGCACATGCATGCGCAGAGATGTGCGGTGCATGCGGGAGGTTGTGCGCACATGCTCAGAGATGTGTGGCACACAATTATCAGCACAGGAGCCCAAACAAGGTCAGCCACCACTGCCCTAGGCGTTAAGTGAATCACTGCAGTTGTTAAGTTAGTAACATGAATTGAGATAGTCAATCTGGCTTCTCCATTGACTTTACTCGTCAGAAGGTTGCAAAAGGCAATTATGTGACCCCCCTCCCCCCGGGTCCACTGGTGGAATTCAAAATATTTTACTACCGGTTCTGTGGGCGCGCGGAGTGTTCTAAAACGGGCAACTTTAAGCATGAAAACTTACCTTACCATCAGCGTTGGTGAGTAAGCGCCTATCAGCTGAGCTACAAAGAAAGGAAATGTGGGACAGGAAAGGCAGGGCCAAGTGCTGATCGGTGCAACCGGATCGCTAGAACCGTTGTGAACCATCAGCATCCCACCACTGCCCGGGACATGGCCACCATCATAAATACATGCCACTTGCCAAGGGTCCACATTTTGATTACGTGACCCCGGAGATGCTACAAAGCTGGTAAGTGGGACAAATGGACCTAAGTCACTTTTTCTTTTCAGTAACTTTGAACGATCACTAAATGAATGGTTGTAACTTAAGGACAACCTGTAGAATGATTGGCCATTCGGAGGGGTCTCCTAATGCAATTAATGCATGGTGCAAACGAAGGGGGATAAGTGAAAGGCACCACCAGAGTACAAATCACAAGGCGCCGTTGATATATTTTGCAGCATCCCACGTTTTTCCTGGACGGTACCACTTCAGGCAGCGACGGGGAAGTTTGTCTCCCATCCCAAATATTTGGCACATTGAAAACACATCCGGTGGAATGAGACGCTCCAAGGTGTCTCCCTCTCTTTGAGGAACCATTCAATGCTAGCCTTCACTTCCATTGCCTGTTGACGTCTTTTGGCAGTTATGGGGAATTCAGATTACAGATTGACAGAGTGGGAAGGGATCTTGTAGGTCATCTAGTCCAACCCCCCCCCCCCCGCCCAAGCAGAAGACCCTACACCATTTCTGACAGAAGGCAATCCAGTCTGTTGTTGAAAGCCTCCAATGATGAAGGTCCCACAACTTCTGAAGGCATGTTCTGTTCCATTGGTTGATTGTTCTCACTGTCAGAAAATATAATAGCAGTTTTATAATATTTGAGGGGCTGCCACAGAGAAGAGGGGAATCAACCTATTCTCCAAAGCACCTGAAGGCAGGACAAGAAGTAGCAGATGGAAACTTGTAAAGGAGAGATCCAACCTAGAACGAAGGAGAAATTCTTCTGACAGTGAGAACAAGGAACCAGTGGAATGTTTTGCCTTCAAAAGTCATGGGTGCTCCACCACTGGAGGTTTTTAAGAAGGGATTGGACAACCATTTGTCAGAAATGGGAACAGGGTTTCCTGCCTAAGCAACGGGTTGGACTAGAAGACCTCCAAGGTCTCTTCCAACTCTGTTATTCTGTTAACCATGGTGTGCTAAGACCCAGCGAATGACAGAAAGCCAATTCAGTGTCATGGCCAGCAATCAAGTTTTGAATTCAAACATCTCAAATCAAGATCACGTGAAGTGTTCATACCACTTTATAATGCCGTGGTGTGTGGCCACCTTTGGAATACTGCATCCAGTTTTGGTCATCACGATAATAATAAAAAAAAATATGTTGAGACTCTAGAAAGAGTGCAGAGAAGAGCAATGAAGATGATTAGAGAATCGGAGCAAGTGGTGGGATTCAGCCAGTTTGCACCAGTTCGGGAGAACTGGTTGTTAACTTTCTGAGCAGTTTGGTGAAGTGGTTGTTAGAAACAATCATTAGGGCAGAGGGCAGGGTTGTTAAATTATGTGGATCCCACCACTGGACTGGAAGCTAAAATATATAAAGAAAGCTTGCTGGAGCTGGGTAAATCTAATTGTTTGATGAAAAGAAGGACTGGGGGTGACATGATAGCAGTCTTCCAATATCTCAGGGGCTGCCACAAAGAAGAGGAAGTCAAGCTATTCCCCAAAGCACCTGAGGGCAGGACAAGATGGAAACTAACCAAGGAGGGAAGCAACCTGGATCTAAGGAGAAATTCCCTGACAGTTAGAACAATTCATCAGTGGAACAACTTGCCTCCAGAAGTTGTGAATGCTCCAACACTGGAAGTTTTTAAAAAGATGTTGGTGTCAGGTTTCCAAGTGATGAAATCCATTTAAAAAGAAAAGTACAAAGTCCATCTTTCAAAAATATTTCTTTTAGTTAGGAAAGCATTCAAATTGGCAAAGTCTGTGGTAATTGTGGATCTGAACCAACCTGGAACTATCCCACAATATTAGAAGTTAGAAACAACCCCCAAAAGTCACATTCTCCAATGGAAGTAATTCAACGTTGCTTGATGTCATAAATCTCCACCTTCAGGGGCCCAAGCATGGACAGCTCGTTTCCCACGGGAAGAAGAATCACCTAGCCTAAACAACTCTCTTTATCTCCACTCCTCTCCCACTTAGGAATGTTTCAAGCCCGAAACCCTTTCCCCCATGACTGCCACAGAGAAAGTAAGAAAAAGAACATATACTAAGACAAACTAAAATGGCTACACTTATGTCAATTTCGGGCTTGACAGTTGGATGGCCATTTGTCTGAAGTGGTATAGGGTTTCCTGCCTAGGCAGAGGGTTGGACTAGAAGACCTCCAAGGTCCCTTCCAATTCTGTTATTCTATTCTATTCTAG